ATGTTACTATGTTAGTAGATCTTTATTTTGGGGGTTTTCTTTGAGGGGGGAATAATTCCTGGCCCTCCATTGCGAATCTACAGTAATCCGCAATATTTTCTCTCTAGCAGCGTAAGCAGAGTGAAGATAGTTAAAACAGAAATTACATTAATAAAATAAAACAAACTGGGCTCTCTAAGACCCCTTTTAACCAAGGCAGACCCAGAAATATTGTATCTCCTATTCCTTCATATTATACCGTGTCTTCTGAAGATTAATGATGCAGGTGAGCAGTGTTATTATAGACCATTCCAAATACGATTGTATCAATTTGCTTCAGTTTTTCTGTTTTCATTGTTGGGGTATATTAGACTCTTCTATGGAGCTAAAACTCTTTCTGCTCAGATTTCATAACGAAGCTAATTACACTTTTGTTATAGCTCATATCAGACAGAATTCAGAAACGTTTCACTTGAAAATGTAGAACTACAGGATCCCTGAAGTATTTGAAGCAACTTTTCCTTCACACCTGTCATTCAATTACAACCCACCTGCTCAACTGGTGGGTTTACAAAGAAGCCATTTACCTTGACATACATTTATATTCCCTTGAAACACAATATTGAAATGTTTGCAATATAGACCTCGATTTAATATTTATTGATAAGCTTTTCAAATTATTTAATAATAATTTAATAATTTTTGGACAGACTAAATTTTGAAAAATATTTTTTTATTTTTTATATATTGATATATTGTTTGATATTTTCAAATTCTGAAAAAAAAAAATTTACTTTTTTTTTCCAAAATGTTAAATAATTTTAAAAGCCTACCCAAAAGTATACAAAATCGAGGTGCATGTAAATAAGCATGAGGTAAAAGAGATATACATTGAAATGTAAATATAAATTAATATTTTCAGGTTAGTAACAACTAGCAATATTTTGTTTGTAAGACGCCACACAGTTTTAATGCCATCTATTCAGAAACGTCTACACCAACAAGATGACTGCAGAATTGAAAAAAAAAATGCTTTCTGCAACATCAGCTGGAAATTGAGTCTGCTAGTAAATGCATAAAAAAATATAGCACCCATAGCATTGCCATGAAGGACAGAAAGACTTTGCAGTCTATTGACATGTTCACACTTTTCAAGCACATCTTGCTCAAAGGACCTTCTGTTTCACTGTCTTAGCAACTGGAGCCTGAGAGAAAATATATACCAGGATAACAGATGTAAAACCTTTGGCAACAAGACATAATTAAACTACAAAAAAGATTAACTCTATCCCTTTGAGTGTAACAATAGTACAACATCAATTGTCTACGCTTATGCGTCCAGACAAATTAGCTGTCACGTACAGAAGAAGAAGCTCTGGCTTTTTCTTAATTAACATAATTGCTGCCAAAAACATTACAAACTTGATTGGAAAATGTTTTGAAGGTGGCACTTTGAATTTTGAACTAAGAGAATCCAGATTGTTGACATGGAAGTCTTGGGCAATGCAGATCATGCAAAAGATAATATATCCCATGTTTAATACGATTTGAAACACGTATATTCCTTCCATCTACAGATTCTTATATATGATGGATTAGTGATTATATATTCCTAAGCAACAGGAAAATGCAGCAACCAACTGTGCATAATAGATTAGAATAAATTTACTCTGTAGGTATAATTAGGAATACTGTAATACGAAATAGCCAGAAAATTAGGTTTTGGGGAGCACACAAACATACATTTGTCAATATTGCTGCTGACCACGAATTATATAAAACACAAAAACAGCTACTAGTGTACATACAACAAATAAACAGTTTTAAATATTTCCAGGCTACATAACATCAGCTATCTCAAGTTAAAATTTGGGGTTCTTATTACACCATATGACCATAGTGTGTTAAATCCACTAGTCATTCAAAATACCCCAATACTGGTACAAATTTAAAACAATAAAAAAAACTAAACATTTTCTATATTTTAGCACAGATATTTTGGTCTTACATAATTCACTGTGAGTTTTAAGCTATTCAGAGTTTAGAGTAATTGACTAAACTAAATTGGGGTTACCCAGAGAATTTACACTTTTAGGCCAAATTTTTTTTTTTAAACTATATTTTTTCATGCTTAGCTATGCAGATCTTAAAATATTACATTTCCGAATGGTTCTTATCTGCCGTCACATTCTATGTTTCTATGTTTCTATGTTTCCTTCTCATTTCTCAGGAACCCTTAGTTAACTGAATAGCCCTGACAGGTTCAGAGGGGCCATCAGATATTTTGGCCACTACTATACACCACTATACACCAATATACACCACCATGTGTGTATAGTGCATGTAGTGTGTGTGTGTTTGTGTCTGTGTTTAATGGATGAAGTATGTGTGTGTGTTTATACTGGATGCAGTGTGTGTAAGGGGTGCATTGTGTGTATTTAGGGTTCGAGAGGAACTGTTAATTCATATTTTCTTGTATAATATTAAAATAAAATATTAAATTTAAAGTTTAAAGTTAGCCATGTTGCCAGATTAACTGCATTGCCCTTACATATAACATTTTCTAAACAATGTATGGTTTAGCGCATAAAATGAGCAAGTAATTAAAAAATGTAGGACACTGTAGATGGAATTCCTCTGTCATTTTCCAAAAACTTGCACAAACAAAACTTTAGACCATGTTGGGAATATAGTTGATTTGCAGGACTTTCCAATTGTGGACACACATTTACATATAAAGTAATGACACAGGTGTATGTAATAAAGTGTGAATTGTTGGGATTTTTAAGTGAATTCAAAATAAATTTAAAGGACCAAAATTGTAATTGAAAGCAGAGTTGACCGATTTTTCCAATTCCAATTTCTCATTTTGACCTAAAATTTTTAATTCACTTTGAATTAATTTGAATTCATAAACAGCTGAGCTCACATTTAAATGAATACCTCTGCTAAGTTTAAATTGAAAACCTTTGCTAGGAAAAAATACTGGTTTCAAACTTAACAATTTCATTATTTTAGTCTTTAACATTAGATACAGTTATTGAAGAGAAAATTACATTTCACCCGCAGCAAGGGAAATGATTCTTAGTAATGTCTGACTATAAAATAATATGATACATACAGCCCAGGAAATTGTGAACGATGTGATAGATATTGCAGAGAATAGGACTAATAGGATCTAATCACTTCTTCAAACAGCCCTGTTTGAGTATAACGGTATCTTTAATTAACGTGAGGTTAACCAATTAATTTCTTGATGTACATAGGGAATTTAATGCTGGATCTTGTCACTACGTTTACCAGCCAGCCGCTAATTGCTAAAGTGGATGTCTCCAATTTAAGCAAATAGTATCAATTTCTCAATAGAATCTCACTATCTAGCACTAACATTATCTACCCAGAACTCTTGTTCTGGCCTAGTTAAAGGGACACTTTGGGCACCATAACAACATCTTGTAAATTAAGTTATTATGGTGCCAGGATGCCCCCAGGTGCACTCTTACCTTAAGGGGTTTAACCGTTCTCTAACAGTTTAACCCTAAAGTGTGACTACAGCACCAATCATCAAGTCCCCTAGACGGCATCTGGATTCAGACAGGGGTGCCATTGATTGGCTGACAGCTGGATTTCAGAATCTGGATGCCACCTGGGGGATCTGAAGATCTGCGCCAGAGGCTCACTTTGGGGTTAACCCTTCGAGAACAGTTTAACCCCTTAAGGTAAGACTGAGTCCCGGGCTTCCTGACATCATAACAACTTAATTTAGGTGAAGTTGCTATGGTGCCTAAACTGTCCCTTTAATCATGCTCCAATGATGCTGACAGTGGTATAGTTATACGTCCAGCAGCAAAGAGATTACGCTCTATTGGTGCAGTTTTTCACAGCTAAATACTGCACATACAGACTCCAGGCACCATGACAACTTCAAATCACTAAAGTGGTCAATACCTTGTGGTTGTTTATGGAGAGTGTTTGGGGGTTCTCTGTAAGTCCTGTTGGGGGGGGGGGAATTCATGTAGAAAGGCAAATCAGGGTGCAAGAGAAGTATACAGCATTTATTAGCAGGGCCGTCTTTAATAACGAATGGACCCTGGGCAAGTGTTTGCTTGGGCCCCCTGTGCCCTGCCGCTCTCGCCCCTCACTCCCTGGTATGCAATCACGGCATCCATCCCAACGCAGTGGCGGTACTAAAGTAGAATGAATTTTATTGGGACCCCCAATTGCAAGGTTGGACTAAAGGTAGAACCCCATCTGTCGTGCAACTCCAACAATGCTTTGACAGCTGGGACTCTACCAATTTCCCATGCTTGCAGGGTTGTATTTAGCACTGAGCCATGTTTGTATGTTTGAATGTAAGCATGTGTTTGTATGGAGTATGTTTGTGTGAATGTGTTTGTATGTGGTACTGGAGTTTGAATGCAAGTGTGCATTTATGTGTAGTGTTTGTTTTTGAATGTAGGAGTGTGCTTGTATGTAGTGTTGACGTTTCAATGCAGGAGTGTGTTTTATATGTAGTGTTGAAGTTTGAATGGAGGGGTGTATTTGTATTTAAAGTTGCGGCTCAGATGCACAGGTACACACTCTGACGCACAAGCAGATACAAACACTGACTACATACAGATAAACAGGCACATACACTGACAGACACACTGACACAGGTACATATATTGACACACACACAGACACATACACTGGTACGTACTGACAGACATACTGACACATACACATACTGACAGACATACTGACACAGGCACATATACAGACATATACCGACATACTGACACACACACACAGACACATACACTGATCAACATACTGACACACATACACTGACAGAAATACTGACACCCACACACTGACAGATATACTGACACCCACATACACTGAGAAATACTGACACACACACACAGGCACATACACTGACACACACAGACTGATATACTGACACACACACACACAGACATACTGGCACACAGACAGATATACTGACACATGCATACACATGCACTAACAGACATACTGACGCACTGACAGACATACTGACACATACACATACTGACACACACAGATCTACACACATATATATACTGACACACAGACAGACAGACATACTGACACACACACAGACATACTGACACACACACAGACATGCTGACACACACACACATACACTAACACACACATACACTAACACACAAACACACACACTAACACACATACAAACACACACACTAACACACACTAACACTACACACATACACAAACACACACTACACACACAAACACACAAACACACACTAACACACAAACACACACATACATACACTAACACACACATACACTAACAACACAACACACACACACACAAACACACACAAACACACACATACATACACTAACACACACATACACAAACACACACTAACACACATAACACACAAACACACACACACCCAACACAACACACACATACATACATACACTAACACACACATACACCTACACACACTAACACACACACACACACAACACACTAACACACATACCAACACACACACATACATACACACCACCACTACCACATACACACACACACTAACACACATACACTAACACACACAAACACACACATACATACACTAACACACACATACACTAACACACAAACACTAACACACAAACACTAACACACAAACACTAACACACACATACACTAACACACACATACACTAACACACAAACACTAACACACACATACACACACACACAAACACACACACACTAACACACACATACACAAACACTAACACTAACACACACATACACTAACACACAAACACTAACACACACATACACTAACACACAAACACTAACACACACACACTAACACACACATACACACAAACACACATTTTTTTTTTAAATGTAATCCCCCCAGCCTCCTTACCTTTTGGAGTGCTGGGGGGGATTCCCTGGGGTCCAGTGGCCCTGCTGGGCTCCTGGGCGGGTGGCCGGTCAGGCAGGAAGGCGGGCGCGCGAGGGAGCACTCACTGCTTCCTCTTCAGCTCTCTCGTGCGCCGCGTAGGGATGCCGGCGCCGGAAGATGACGTCATCTTCCGGCTCCGGCATCAGTGCGGTGCGCGAGAGAGCTGAAGAGGAAGCAGTGAGTGCTCCCTCGCGCGCCCGCCTTCCTGCCCGACCGGCCACCCAGACTGCCCGCCCGCCGGGGTCAGCGGGGCCCACGGGGCAGGTGCCTTGGGCCCCCCAAGAGAAACTGGGCCCGGGGCAGCTGCCCCGTTTGCCCCGCGTTAAAGACGGCCCTGTTTATTAGACAGGCAATACGATAGCAGGTAGAAGTATCAGGATGTTCAGTTCCACTGTAGCTCTTAATAGCTCTACAACATGAATGGAAGCCCCCTGGGCTTTAAATTAACAGAGGAGTGGTGGACATAGGAGGGCAGAAAGGAGAAACATATTTAAAGGAACAGTCCAAGCACAATAACCACTACAGCACTCTGCAGTGGTTATGGTGCCAGGAGTGTTGTGGCGCCCTCCCAGAGTAAGTAGTCAAACCATTTAAGAACAGTATAACACTTACCTTGGGTCTGCAGGTAGGTAGGTAGATAGGTGCTATTGTAGGGAATAGGGCCTTTTGTAGAGGATATGGGCAGTAGTGTGTGTGTGAGTACAATGTGTGTGAGGGACACAGTGTGTGTGTGTGAGAGAGGTCCAGTTTGTGTGAGGGTTGCTGTGTGTGTGTAAGGGGTACAGTGTGCATGTGAAGGGTGCTGTGTGGGGTGCAGTGCGTGTGTGTGGGGTGCAGTGGGTGTGTGTGTAGAGTGCAGTGTGTGGGTGTAGTGTGTGACTTGAGAATATATATTTATTTACATTATTTTTATTTTTATTCCAAATTTATACTTTTTAATTATCATTTTATCCCTCCTAACTTCTTACCTTTGCCTGGGAGGGGGGGACATAACAAGGCAATCCCTGGTGGTCCTGGTAGTTAAGCCCTGGTGGTCCAGTGTGGAGTGAACTGTAGCCTGCTGCTCCCGAGGCTAGAGTTTACTCTTGTGAGATCAGAACGTTGCCTTGGTAACCACAGCAACTCTTTGCGCTCGCAAGAGGAGATCCTGGTAGAGCTGTAGGTAAGAGCTCCCATGTCTCCTCTCTCCCTCCCCTGCCGGCTGCCAGCAAAATGCCTGTGGGCCATTGCAATTGCCAATTTAGCCATTTTCAACCAAAACATTGCAAGTCTACAATTAATTACCAAATTGGAGCAGTTCATTAAATGTACATTCCAAGCACCAAAACAGCTTGAACTTTATATTGGAATAATGATAGTGCTCCTGCAGTCTCACTGCTCAATTCTCTGCTACTTAGTAGTTATATCACTTTGTTTATGCAGCCCTAGCCATGCCTCCCATGGCTGCGGCTCTCAAAGCTTCACTACAAACTTCCTGAAAAAGAACCTACGTTTTTAACTTCCCTTACTTCTTAGTTTGATTGATTTAGAATTTCTTATCTCGTGTTAATAGCCTACCAGAGCCTGCAACAGCCTCATGTGTGATTATAGTTCAATTTAATCTGTAACTACAGATTGCAAATTCCACACCATGCACTTTAAGAAGAAGGCAGGCAGGCTGCGATCATTAAATACAGTGTCCACCAAATCTCTGTAGAAAGGTGTGCAGGATCAGTGGCCGCTCTAGACTTGGCGAGGCCTCAGGCGAAACTCATACATGAGGCCTCCACTAACACCATTATTGAAAAAAAAGTGCAGTTGACTTGTTTGTGTATAAGAAGCTGTAGATATATTGAAGGGGGAGCTTGCAGCACTGGATATAGAGAGCCAGTCTCTGTATACACCGTTGCATTGTCTACTTGTGTGTGCCTGAGAGTGTGTGTCTGACAGTGAGTATCTGTATGTATGTTTCTCTGAGCATGTGTATGTTTGTGTACTGCCTGTGGCCTTTGGCACTGAGTTTATGGTGAAGCTATGTTTTATGATGGTGTGTATAATGATTGCCTTCAGAGGGTGACAGGGTGAGTAAATTGGTAACTGTGTCAGGGTTAGTGTAAAAGAGCAGGAGGGTGCCAAAGTGTATTGGGGGAGGGGGTGCCAGAGTGTATGGAGGGGGGTGCCAAAGTGTTGAGGGTTGACAGTGTGTATGAAGGGAGGTGCCAGAGTCCTGTGTGTGTGGAGAGTGGCCCATGTGTGTGGAGAGTGGTGCCCGTGTGTGTAGTGTGACAGTGTGTATGGAGGGGGGTGACAATGTGTATGGAGGGGGTGTCCATTTGTGCGGAGAGAAGTGTCAGTGTGTGTTAATAGCCTACCTGTTAATAGCCTACCTGAGCCTGCAACAGCCTCGTGTGTGATTAAAGTTCAATGACTGTGTGCGGAGAGAGGTGACTGTGTGAGAAGAGAGGTGACAGAGTGTGTGGGGTGGGTGACATTAGTGCGAGAGGGAGGGTGATGTAGTGAGAGGGGGGTGACAGAGTGAGAGGGGGTGACAGTGTGTGAGGTTGAGACAGTGTGTGAGGGGGTGACCTAGTGTGAGAGGGGAGAGACCTAGTGTGAGAGGGAGGTTGACATAGTGTCGGGGGTGACAGAGTAAGAGGAAGGGTGAAATTGTGTAGGTGGGTGACAGAGTGAGAGGGACGTGACATAGTGTTAGAGGGAGGATGACATAGTGTGAGGGGGTGGCATAGTGTGAGGGGTGGTGACAGAGTAAGAGGGGGGTGACATTAGTGTGAGAGGGTTACATTAGTGTTAGAGATGTGGCAGAGTAAGAGGACATGGCAGAGTAAGAAGGGGTGACAGAGTAAGAGGGGGTGACAGTGTGAGGGTGGGTGACAGAGTGTGATAGGGTGACAGTGTGATGGGGTGGCAGGGTGAGAAGGAGGGAAACAGAGTGAGAGGAAGGGTGACAGTGAGAGGGAGGGTGACATAGTGTGAGGGGGTGACAGAGTGAGAGGGGTGGTGACAGAGTGAGAGGGAGGAGGGTGTCAGAGTGAGAGGGGGGTGACAGAATAAGAGGGGGGTGACATTAGTGTGAGAGGGTTACATTAGTGTAAGGGGTGTGACAGAGTAAGAGGGGGAGGCAGAATAAGAAGGAGTGACAGAGTAAGAAGGGGTGACAGTGTGAGGGGTGATGACAGAGTGAGAGAGAGGAGGGTGACAGAGTGAGAGGGGGGTGACAGAATAAGAGGGGTGACAGTAGGTGGGGGTGACATAGTGTAGGGTGCAGTGGATGACAGGGGAGAGGTAGGTGACAGGGTGAGAGGGGATGACAGCAAGAGGGGGTGGCAGTGTGAGATGTGTGATGGCTGAAAGGGGTGACAGTGTGTGGGGAGTGACAGGGTGAGGTGACAGAGTAAGGGGGTGTAATATAGTGTGGGGGGATCACAGGGTGGGTGATAAAGTAAGAGGGGATGACAGGGTGAGAGGGGGTGACATACTGAGAGGAGATGACAGTGTGAGAGGGAAGGTGACATACTGAGAGGGTGTGACTGTGTGAGGGAGGATGACATACTGAGAGGGTGTGACAGTGTGAGGGAGGATGACAGAGTTAGAGGGGGTGACAGAGTTAGAGGGGGGATGAGAGAGTGAGAGAGAGGAGGGTGACAGAGTGAGAGGAGGTGACAGAATAAGAGGGGGTAACAGTGTGAGAGGGTGACAGTGTGAGGGGGTGACAGGGTGAGAGGGGGTGACAGTGTCAGGGGGGTGACAGTGTGTGGTGGGGTGACAGGGACAGAGGGGGTGTCATAGTGTGTGGGGAGTGACAGGGTGGGTGACAGAGTAAGAGGGATGACATTGTGTGAGTCACAGGGTGGGTGACAGAGTAAGAGGTGACAGAGTAAGAGGGGGGTGACGGGTGACGGGTGACGGGTGAGAGGTGGGGTGACAGAGTGGGTGACAGAGTAAGAGGGTGCAACAGAGTAAAAGGGGGTGGTAGGGTGAGAGGTGGGGTGACAGTGTGTGGGGAGTGACAGGGTGAGGTGACAGAGTAAGGGGGGATGATATAGTATGGGGGGGTCACAGGGTGGGTGACAAAGTAAGAGGGGGTGACAGGGTGAGAGGGGGTGTTGAAATTTACCTTTTTCCCTGGAGGTCAGGTGGGTTCCCTCTGTCCCTGGTGGTCCAGTGTCCTGGCTGGCTCCCTGGTGGTCCGGTGGGCTCTCCGCTCTGCAGCTCCACCGGATGCAGAGCTGCAGACCACATGGTGAA